TTCGCGACTCTAACCCTGACCTTTAAAAATTTATGTGGTCCGAGCTCGACATGAGCCGTAATTTTGTTTGTTATAAAACAAGACCGAACTCGAAGATTAAAATTATTTTGGAATTTGAGTTTCAAGTAATGTTATGACAATTGACACCTTATATAAAAATATATTTAACGCTCTATATTGTCAAATGAAGTTGCGATCCCGAGTACAACATTTTTTAAAATAACATGTGATTCTGATTGGCATTTTGCGAAAAACAAACCGACCTCGGATAGGGTTATATCATACATCTGAATCAAGCTCAGAAAATGTCTACAATGTATAATGGTTACCATACATTATTTGAAATAGAAAGTAAAAGCATCAAATTAAACACAATGAAAGCAGTTAATAAATTATAAAATTTTGGGGAAAAATGTAGGAAATATATAATATTGATTACAGATAGATATATAAAAAGAAGTAAGAAGAAATAAACTTAAATTACAAATACAAATTTAAGAGATTAAAATTAAAAATTAAACAGAAAAATATAATCATACATGAGTCTATATTACGTTGAATTGGGCCAAAATTTAGATTTTCATGTAAAAATATAAAATGAATGATAGGGAATATATGAATATCCTCAAGGAATACATTATAAAATAAAAAAATTATTTTATGGTTCCTTGTAATAAAAATTTATATAATTCCAAAAAAAAAAAATATTTTTTGGCAAGATAGCTCAATCTAAGAAACACAAATTCCCTCAGAGATTGGCATATTTCCTTCTGCAAAGGCATGTAGATTATGCTCATAAACCTAACCATAGTTATGATAAATTATCATATGATTTTTTTTCTGTCAAAATAAGATGGTCTTTATTTCTTTTAATTTTAGGGATTACTCCAAAATACGAAATGAAAGAATGAATGAAATTATTCGTATTTAATTTAAATTTTATATAACCACAACATCTGAACTTAAAATCACAACCATTTAAGGCCAACAGAGGACTGAAACAAGGATGCATTTTATCACCTATGCTATTTAATGTAATAATGAACGATATTCTGAATAAATCCTTCAAACAAGAATATGCTCTTAACCCTCGATATCTGAATCAACAATATGATAATAACATACACAACTCTCTAAATTTTCTATGCTATGCCGATGATGTATGCATATTAGCTAACTCTGAGTACAATTTAAGAAACTTGCTGTCATTGTTTGTCAAAAATTGCTTTGGATACGGACTGAAAGTCAACTACTCAAAGACAAAGTTAATTGTATCCAATATCCCTCTATATAACAGCGACCCCTTTAACTTTAAGGATAATTGGTAGATACGGTTTCGGATTTTAAGTACCTAGGAACCAGAATAATGTCATTAGGCACCACCATTTTGGATACTAAGTCGAGGACCAACAAGGCCAGATCCCGATATCATCAGCTAACTAAATTATGGTCGTCCAACCAGATATCTACGAACCTAAAAATAAGACTCTTTAAATCCCTAATTCTACCCATCTTAACATACGGGTTGAAAACATGGCAGGACACTAAAAGCAACATCAACACATCCCAGACCTTCATAAACAAGTGCTTAAGAAGAATCACTAAAACTTACTATCCATACAACACCCCAAACACAACTCTCTGGAACAGGTGCGACATCCTACCTATCAAAAGACTCATTCCTTTGAGGAGATTAGAATTACTCGGCCACTGCTTAAGACATTCACGAGATAATATGATATTTTCGTCCATGAAGTGGACCCCGGATTATGGAAAGCGAAGAATCCCCAAATACTATTGGCTGGCAAAATGTCTGAAGGACATGGACTTGATCAATCTTACGTTTATAGATTTTCTTGCACTCAGCAAAAACAAGAAACATTTAAAGGAACATCTGCAATACATGCTTAAATATGGTTTAAACTAGAGCAGGAATCGTGGACGTATCAGACTATTTCTCACACTGCCTTATTTCCAATCTCTTATCCCCAGTCTAATGACAACTTATGTTTTGGCGCAATAGGAATTATGATTTTTGACGAAGTCAATGATAATCTTAAAACCGTGAATATTGATAATGATAACGATCTCCAGGCTCAATATTAATAATGATAATAGTGAATAACATGGATTCTATAGACATTGCGTTATCTTCCAAGGATATACTTACCAAACATTAAGAAATTTTTTTTTCCCATCTCTTAAATCTAACCAGGTGTCAGGTACATTATTATTATTAATATTAGCTACAATTCTTAACACTATTTTGCCGGTAACGGAACTAATAGATCCCCTCTTTCTTACTCCTCTCTTCTTTACTATGCTAGCTGACTACATAGTGGTACCGTCCACTATAATAAAACGGGTATACATCATTTATAGGATCTATATACTAGTGAATATACATGGTGCACGCTACAACTCCTGGTGGGTGATGAAATTGCACTTCGTGCAATTTCTGGCGTGGTAATGAATGAATGAATGAAATATTTTTCTTATATATGTCGTATTGGGATATAGAATCATGTGGGATTCGGTATCCCAATTTTTTAAAAAATATTTAAAAAATATTCCGAATCCCCATGAATAAAAAATAAAATAATATAATTACTTTTTCTTCTCTTTATTGCGACTGGCACCATATAATTAAAAGGCCAAAATAACGGATTTAAAAAGAGAATTTAAAAAAAAGTAAATAGCATAAAATTAAGGTGTATAATGAATGAAAAGGGATTAAGACTTTTTTGTTAATAAAAAATCCGAATTATTGCAACAATTATTCAATGCAATATGGCATTTCGTTGAACATTTAAGCAGGTACATATTGAGTTAGCCGTTTTTAAAAATCAATTATGAATAAGGAAAAATACTATGTATCTTTAGGTTGAGCCATATAAGGTCAGACTCATATAGAGATTGTTAAAACTAAATTATTTATAACAACGAACAAATTTTAAGTTGAGATTATCAAAATGTTTTTCAAAAAAAAGGCTAAGGACAAATATATATTTTTATTTAGTAATTTTATATATTTTTACATATTTTTAAAGAGTTGTTTTAATATTTTAGTTGTTTTATCATTTTTTTTTTAAATTTACAAATATCAATATTATCAAAATTAAATTTTAAAAAATAAAACAAATAACAATGGCAATATTTTGAAGTTTTGGAAGCAGGAAATGTTATTTCCTTTTTTTGAGAAAAATTAGAGAGTAAAATTTTATCAGTCCTGGCAAATTCGGCTTCTAGTGAAAGGTTATTTTTTGTAGCCAATCGCCTATTAGAAGAAAGGCCTACAACAATTGAAATAAAAAAAAATAACAGTCTTCTTTTTTTTAAGTAAAAATTTGGATTTATGATATGTCCTTGTTATTATGGATTATGGAATTAAAGAAATAAATAGAATAAATTCAAAAAAGTGTAAAAAATTATAGCAATAAAGTTTCGAAAAAATTTAAAAACACCGTAAATTTTCGGGCGTGAAACAAAATATTGCCTTTCGTGAGCGAGCGGGTCGGGTCGAAATTTTTTTAGTGGTTAGCGTGAAATGGCGTGAATATTTTCATTGCCACATTATTTATTTAAAGCAAAATATCACTAAAAATAAAATTTTCTGGCGCGGCAAAAAAATATAATTTAATTGTTGAATTTTAAAAAAAAAATTCCGAATCCCCTTAAATATTTTTTTAAAATAAATTTATTTTTGTTATAAATATCTGAACCATAACCGAAACCGAACAGATATAATTATTTTTTGAAGGAGTATAAAGATCCTTTATAAAAAAAACGGTTAAATCGGTTCAGATTTTATATTTTAGAAATGGTAATAATTTGAATATCCAGAATTATATAAACGTGCTCTTATAGTACTGGCGGTTCCCGCAACACAAGTTTCTGTAGAAATGGCTTTTTGTGTTATCGTCACAACGAACAAAAAAGGAATCCATTTATAGTTGAAAATATATTACTTATAAGTTCAATTAATATATTTAAAAATGAGTTATTTTGAATCTTATAAATTTTTTTTATATTTAATTCATAGATGCTTATAATAAATATAAATTAGTAGATGGTGTTGCTTCAATAAAAAAAAAATTTCTAACCGTAATGAACCTTTATAAACCTTTATAATTAGCTGAACCGAACGGAATCTTTATATCAATTTCTTCTCAAGAACAGTAACCAAAACGTAACCTTTATAATTTTTTATATACTGAACCGTACCGTACCGGTTCGGGTCCCTGCTTTAATGTTCAACGAAATGCCATATTGCATTGAATAATTGTTTCAATAATTCGGATTTTTTATAAATATATTTTTTAAAACAAAAAATGTCTTAACCTCATCCCTTTTCTTTTATTATATACCTTAATTTTATACTATTTACTTTTTTTTAATCTTTTTAAATCCCTTATTTTTGCCTTTTAATTATATGGTGCCAGCCGCAAAAAAAGAGAAGAAAAAGTAATTATATATATTTTTTTTCATGGGGATTCGGAAACGTGGGGATAACGACATATATATTAATAGGTTTGTGTAAATATAATTAAAATAAAAAATTTCGTTTCAGATATTTAGATGAATAATTTTGAATATTTACGAATAATTTCGGATATTTAAAGACTAATTACGGATATTTACAAATAAATAATTGGAATCAAATTAACCGATAACTTCGAATATTTTACCAGATTGTATTGAAGAGATTAGTCCTAGACTTAATTGATTTGCAGGGATTATAGAGCTAATCTTAATTAGTTTTTTTTCTTAATATGGTTTGGCACTTAAAGATATTTTCTTAACTAAATCCCTAATTTTAATTTATCAGATATTTTTATAAAAATTTTATTATAAATGTAAATAAAATAACACAAGATTTATAATATATATATATAAACCAGCTTGTAAAACATCATTATCTTATTATTATTATCATTATTTTTATTATCTTAAGATCTGGTCAGATACAAAAAAATTCTATTAAGGAAAATAATAATAATTTTATGCGAAAAAAAAATAACGAGCGAACTTATGTTTGTATTAATATTGTTCTTGATCTCATTCTTTGATGGAACGAAGTATGGTGAGAGTATTTATATAGTAGGAATGCAGGAACCAGATCCCTATATCAGTGACTTTGAAAATATTAGAGAGTATTTCTTTCGCCCATTAGACCCGGAGATAACTATGACGCCAGTATGATGTTCTATATATTATATAATTTTAATTTCATTCTTTAAATACTACTGGCGAAATTTCTTCAAAATTATGCGGTTTTTATCAGGGATCTTTATGGGCCGGCCCGCGGTTTTTTAATTTTTTGTTTTAGCGAGCTGGGGTTGGGCCTAAAATTATTAAATTTAAATTCAGGTTAATTAAAACAGTTGCTAACTTAAAATATAATATTGCCATTTTTTTTTTTTAAATATCAGAATTGTAAAACAAAATTATTGCCTAAATACGCTTAAAAATTGTTTATTTTTATTAAAATACAATAAATTAAATTTTTGGTTATGGGCTTGGGCTTGTCATTGGTAAATTTTTTTTGATACTTATTATGGTCATGGGGTAAGTCGGGCCGGGCTTGGTCAAAAAAATTAAGACCCACGAAGATCTTTGGTTTCTATAAAATGCTTAAGAAAAAAATCAAATATATTTTAAGTAGTAATGGATAATAACATGTGGTATAATCCATGAAAACTAAGAATAACTAAATTTCAAGTCAAACGCGATTCTTAAATTTAGAAAATTCCTATTTAACAGAAAATGCATCATCAACATGTGTCGAGTAAATACCCTAGAAATATAAAACAATTTTCACCACGAATAAAAATATTTGGGTTCTGAATTAGTTAGCAGTTTCGGGTCAGGACCCTCCCCCTAGAGCAAAGTTTTTAGATTATACATTCAAAAGATTCAAAAGTGCATGAGTATAAAAATAATCTATTTTTTGTATGTATAATAATATAAATTAACAGTTCAGAACTGTTGATACATAACAACCCCCAATCTTATTGATTTAGTGCTGACTCTCGTAGGGAACCGGTCATGCCTCAACTCTATTTTAGTTCCCGATTCCGCTTCAATACTTCCGTCAGGTTCTTGTCTGGCATCCTTTCTCCTTAGAATTCTTTGTTATTTTTAAAGTGAATTTCTATTACAGTGTTAATAATGACTTTTTCCAATTTTTTATTTCTCTTTATTATTGTACACGCGTGACTACAATTTTTCATTAATTTCTAATTTTTTGGGTATAATATTCTAACTTTTCCTTCTTGTTCTCCTGTTCAAATATTTGTTCTAGTAAATCCTCTAGGTTTAATTTTTAATAGAATCTCGCCGAAGTTAGGATTTGTTTTCTGCCCTTTTCCATTTCGGTTTGCTACCGTTTTTTCTGTAGTTGATATGGACTTCCGTGTATTAATTGTATTCCGTTTTTTAATATTATTAAATTCTTTACTACTGAATTGTGGTCCCTTATCAAGAACTATTATCTTGAGTTAATCGAATCTGGCAAAATGATTTATTTGATTTTATCGTGAATTCAGTGATTGTACTAGGCAATAATATTTCTGACCAGCGATTGTTAGCGTCTATCACTATTAACCATTAATGATCTTTAAATGGTCCCTAATCAATATGTCTGGGTGCCATGCTTTAGGTGGGTGTGGCCAATTTTGAATCGATGATGACGTCATATCGTGCTGTTCCTAACATTCGCTGAATTTTTCCACCCATGTCTCTATATCTTGTTTTATATTAACCCACCACGCTCTCATCTACATTTTTTCCACCATGCCAATATGTCCCTTAATGTTTCATTTTTAACACACTGTTTTGGAATTATTGTGGTACTAAAATTTAAATGTCCTCAGTAAACAACCTTTCTCTCTTGTGATTTCTCATCTTCTTTGGCTATACTCCTTTAAGGTATCATAGTTAATTGGGCACCCGTCTATCGCATACCTGTATACTTAAGAGAGTGCATCACTTTGCATTTCAATTTCGTTTGCATTCAAAGGCGTTTATTCCCTCACGTGTATTTGATCCAGAATTTTCTTATATTAATATTGTTTGAGTTCACTTGTATGTGTAATCGAGATAGCATGTCAGTATCAGCTATTTGTCAGCTACTCTTGAATTATAATTCATATCGGTTAACCATAATAATGTTCATCTTTGTATTCTGGCAGTGGATGTTGTCGGTATATCATTTTTGGAATGAAATAAACTCATTATATGGTCTATTTGTAATGTGAACTTTATTTCCATATATAAATTTTTTTGAATTTTGTAACCCCAAAATATGTTGGCAAGGGCTTCTCTTTCTATTTGACCATAATTTATCTCTGCAGTATTTAACCTTCTTGAGACAAATGCAATTAGTTCCTTTTCTATAAAGCATCTGTTGTTAGTATAATTTGCAATTTTAGATTATTGTATTGTAATACTGGGATACTACTAATTGCTTACTTTATTTTCTTCATAGGTGTCTTTGCATTCCTTTTTTATTTTTCTAATAATTTATAGTGGTTTGGCCATGTCTGCAAAATTTGAAATGAATTTTTTTCTGGTAAAATTTTTACCGCCTCAGTATTTCTTGCTGTAGTAATTGTAATATTATTTTTTTATATTTTATGTCCCTAAGTACTTTAAGACATTGTAAATATTAGATAATGTCATACTATAGTAAAAGTAAAATAATATGAAGAACGAACATTAGAATTATCTCTAATAATTATAAAAGAATATACAAAAAAAATCTACTTGAAAAAAATTGGATAATGGAATTTCAAGAGATGACTGAAATACCTAAAAAGGTTAATAAATTGGAAGATTATGTTTGGAAATATTTACATTCTTCTATCTTTCCTCTTTCTGTCTAAATATTTAACTACTTTTTTTAAAAATATTATTTTCGTCTTTCTCTCTATTATTCCCTGTTATTATAAATATCATCCAAATAACAAGCTACTCCTTCATAACTCTTTAATAAATGCGAGTTGATCCGTTAAATTAAATCCCTACAAAAAAAAATATTTTTTTTTAAACAAATCTACAATCAACAAATTCAAAATCATTCAAAATCATTCAAATTAGTATATTTTTATACCCAACAAACATATTGTGTGAATTTAAATCAAAAAAAAAAATTGGAGAGTGAAATATCGATAAATATATTTATATTCTTCCAATAGTGATTATTTGAATTAATTATTTAAATTTATCAATATTTGTAGAAGAGGTAATAATAAAATCGACATAACATTCAACGCTAATAATTCCAGGCACAAGGGGTGGGTAAGTAGGAATTTTTTTTTACTTTATCAGTATTTTGCCTGTTTTCGTAAATATCGTCATCTTCTTCTTCTCCGTTTTATCGCAGTTTCCAGGTTTACTCGTGTAGGCCAGTTATCCCTCTAATTTTCCTTTTCCATTTTTGACGGTCTTGAGCATCAATACATCAATATTTGTAAGATCCATGCTTCTCATATCCGTCGCTATCACATTTGTCCACGTCATCATTGGCCTTCCTCTAGGTCTTGATCCTCCTACTTCTATTAAGGTGCATCTCTTATCCATCTTAAGATAAGTAATATTACCCCCCTCTGCTCCCCACATGTCTCCATCCCTATTCCCTCAAAGTATGTTTACAATATATCACTTATAACTTCAAAAGAAAAACAAAATGAAATGATTTTTTTAAATTTAACGAATTTAAATTCAACAATTTTAGAAAAAAAGGGCATTTTTTATAAAAATAAGTGTAATTAATTTTTTTGAAAAACAAAACAGCCAGAACTCTACAATAAGTGAACCTAAAGAATTTTCAATAAATTTATGGTGTATAAAAATTCCCTGATAATGCTTTTCCTTCCATGGCAAAATCTTGGGCAACGGCTATTAGCCTATTCATAACACATTTTCATTGGAGTTAAACATTGCCAAAACTTATAAAATGTTTCATATAAATATGAATAAGGAAATTTGGCAAAAAAAAAATGATATTAATGCAAAAGAATCAATGAAAATAACAAAAGAATCATTGATATGGCTATTCTCCACCAAGAAAGTAAACATTATAAAATTCTTTTAAAAATAAAAGATCTAAGATACTGATAAGAGTTATTATTTAAAAAAATACCAGATATAAAGTAGAAGAGATGAAAGAATCATTATCTATGATTAACGTATTATAGTATAAAAATAAAAATAAAAATATAGTTTAATTTTTTTAAAAAATTAAAATTCATGCTAATTAATCGCGTGTTTTATAGCGTATATTTTAAACCATATGATTTTCTAACAAAAGGGAAACTTGTGATATGATCGGCTAAAGGATAACTAAAAAAAATATTAAAGTTATCGAAACATCTCAAAAAATAGGAAATTTTTTGTTACCAATTGATGAATATTTCCATATTATTATAAAAAAAAGGTGGGGGGGGGGAACAATATTTGGGTTTAACCCTTCCATTCACACAAGGCCAAAATATAACCCACAACCCACTTTTTGGGGCAAATATGAGCTTCTTTTTTTAATATAAATTTTTAATTAATATTATATTTTCAAATTTATTTTAAAAAATTATGCGTATTTGAAAATTGAATATTTATTATTTCTATGTAAATTTTTTTAAAAAAATGTATAATAAAAATAGAAATATTTTGCGATTTGACGAAATCGTATTTGAAATTGAGTAATAATTTGTTGTTTTTTTATAAAAACATATGTTAGTTCACAGCTGACGGTAAATCAATAATATATTCGACTGGATTGATAGCGGTGTCCGGTTCGAATCGATTTAACAACTGAGCTATTTTTTCGAAAAATCATTTAATGATTTAAAATCAATAATTCCTCGATAATTATCACGAATAAAATTAAAAATGGAAAATTAATATAATATAAAGATATGACTTCATTAGATTTTAAAAAATTGATCAGCTGTTAAATCGTGCCGACTCTGATCTCCCACTATAAATGCAGAATTAGGCGGAAAACGTCCCTACGATATTTGCCGACCGTATTTATCTCAATACAATATTGCTTTACGAAAAGTTTTATAAAATTTTGGACAATATTTACGAATTCATTTTACTTGTCTATTCACCAAAAAATACGAACTTGTTATAGGCAGATTTGATAAAATCCAAGGGTTACCCTTACGAAAATTACGAGGTTACCACCGAAGATGGTTTCGTGCTGCAGTTACATAGAATCCCGTTCGGCAAAAAGCGGAACAACGCGTCTAACCTAAAGGCCTCCGTTTACTTACAGCACGGCTTGCTATGCACTTCTTGTGATTTCCTGATGAACTTGGAGAACCAGAGTTTAGGTGTAACTTAAATTTAGACCTCATCAAAATGTATGATTGGTTAATACATATTTTTTTTTCCTTCTCAATATAAATTATCTATTTTAATTTTTTGCTTTATTTAATTTATAAAAACTTTATTTTTAAAGTGTAGAAATATATAAATGGGGTTAAAATAAAGTATCCGACGTCATTATAACTATGGCCATCTTTGTTTTTTTTTCCTTATACGTTTTACTACTAAATTTTTTTAAAAAAAATTAAGAAATTTTTATAACAACTCACTAAATTATATTATTAAACTATAGTATATAAGTGAATGAAAGGATTTTATTGGAGGAATAATACATTTTATATAAATCACTTTTGTCTACCCATGTATTTAGTTGCCATATACCGGTTGCTGATATTACCTTAAAATACCCTTTTTTTTAAAAAAACAACATAGTTTAATCTCTATTTATAATATAACTTAACATTTAATAAATAAACATGCTTTGTAATGATTCCGTTAAAAAAATGTTTTAAATTAAATTTATATAAATTTTGTAACCAGGTTGAAAAGAAGTTGCAGTTGGTTCTTACAGGAATATAAATAATTTGACTTTGAGAATAGAGGTAAACTGATATTTAGCCATGAATCCAAGTTTAGTGAGACTTTCATTTCTTCGTTCGACACTGTTTTTTCGAGTAAAACTTTATCTAGCGTAGTGGGTAATCCAAGACAATCAAATAATGATTAAGATATTACAAACAATATTTTCGAATAATCATCAATTTAAATCCAATTCAAAAGATATGGGAGCTTATCAACTCCTTTCAATACATAAATAGAATATGATCCTCAAGTGTATAATTAGCCGAGTTATCAAGATACAGATAAATACGAATAAATTCTTGATTTTATATATTAGGTGTTTCATATCGATTTTAGGTATCCCTAGATGACAATAAAAATAAACTTTATTCATTATGTTATTTTGTTTTGGATATTTGTATATTGTTTACATTCATAATGTTATCTTCTAATTGCCTTGATTTTAATAAAACTAAATTATCCGTTAAATAAATGATATCAAAATAGAATACCAATACATCTGAAATAGTATTTAAGGTAGAGATACTTTTTATAATAAGTGTAACAGATATCACTTTTTATGGTAATCAATTTTGAATAAAGATACCAACATAACAATAAATAGAAGTTAAGATATATTAATTTGAAATTGGGCTCTTTGTCAAACCCTACTAGAGCATTTACGCGTATATTAAAAGTAAGTCTGGAACTATGTATACAAATACAAAATTTTCATGAAAAAATTAGAAACATTAGGAATTCGATATTAATTATGTAATTATTATTATTATATTGATATTTGATTGGATAAAATTCAAAAAGTTTGTCTAAATCTTGGAAAAACTTTAAAATATGGATGGCCGAGTATTAAAGACGTGGCGTAGTTAACTAAATGTTTTTTTTAAATTATATTTATTTGCAGCATTCATTATGGCCGATAATGATTTAGATGTTTGGTTAGGAGACACAAGAGGTAATAAGTATTCTAGGAAACATATAAAATACACCACCAACGATACAGAATTTTGGGATTGGAGGTTTAAATCCTTCCAATTTAAGATTATTTCTCTAACTTTATTATTTGTTCTCTATATTAAAAAGAAGGTGTATCGAATGTATTATTAACAATATCCTCTTTTTTTTAAGTTTCGACGAGATAGCCAAATACGATCTTCCAGCTGTCATCGATTTTATCATCAAGGTTACCAACAGAGATCACCTATATTACGTGGGACATTCTCAAGGGAGCATGGTAGCATTGGCGCATTTCTCTCAAAATCCTGAGATGTCCAACAAAGTCAAGATGTTTTTCGCGATGGCGCCCGTAGCGTACTTAAAAAATATTCGGTCTCCCATTCGATTATTCGCTCCTATAACACAGACTTACGAAATTGCATCCAGAATGTTTGGTTAATTTGCCTTTTTAAAATCATATTTTCGCATATTAAATTTGTATACTTACCCAAAATTTAGAATTTATGCATATATAAATATATTAGATGTAGAATCTAAGTAATAGAATTGTCATCAGAAATAAACCTCCTTTAAATTTGTATATTAAAAATCAACATTTTAGGGTCATTCAAATATCAAAATTAAACACCTTTCTGTCGATCCATTTCAATTTTCGTTAAAAATTTGTAGACACGTTTATATCCGTTTTTAGTAAAATATTTTTAAAATTTTTTTTAGCTCATTAACAATTTATATTATATCAGATAATGGAGATTAAAGTTACAAAAAAAATAGGCTATTTTTTTTAGCCTTTTACTCATGTTAAATAAATTTTTTACGAAGTTTTATTTGTTTTCTAACAATGATAATAATTGATAAATTTAAGGGAAAAACATAAAAATTTGTATTTTTAAAAAAATATTGGTCGTCTAATGCAGAAAATTTAAAAAATTTTCTTCTATTATTCATTTTACAATTTTCCCAATAATTTATTCAATATTTAGCACGGTTGGGTAATTACGTAAGAAAAAAAATATCCAGAATAACGTATTAATAACGTATAGAAGACATTATATATCGATATTTTAATCTGATAAAATGCTAAAAAATCAGATAAATTTTAAGCAAACCTCTAGATTTCGGCTAATAGAAAGGCACGGTTTAAATGATGCGATCACTATTGAAATGGGCACATAAAGCGTCATCTTTAAAGAGTTTTATGCATTATTCTGGGATATATATATTCTAAATAATTACCCAACCGCGCTAATTATTGAAGAAATTTTTTTTTTTTTTTAAAAATGGTTTAAAAGAATAAATAGTAGAAATATATATTAAATAATCTGAGCCAAGATGTTAAAAACATGGCACCGAGACGCTTACCATCCTCATTTATGAGAAAACCAGCCCGAAACCAAAGATTTTCCGATCAACCTATTAGGATTGTCGTGTCGCAGAAAACGGCCACTGACATTAAGGCAACAGAAACAATTTTTTCAAATGGATATAAGATGTGCCTATATATTGAAATTTAATTTTGACGTTTACCATCATCAATTATTGACTTAGTTATTTATATTAAGAATCAATAGTCGAACTAATTTAAAGTTATATACAATTAAAATTAAATTTTATTAAAAGGATATTAAAATAGCGGTTTTTTGTATCTTTTAATCCCCATTATCTCTCTAGTGATATATTTGCTAATGACCTAACAATAGTTTTTTTTTGATATATACTAGAAACATGTATAAAGTGCCTACGAAAGGAGTCGGCTAGAAAATCTATAAATTTTCTTGCTCATTTGACATTGAAATAACCACATTATAAGTTAATATAATATTGATGGCATCGAATAAAATATTCGTACCAATATAAAAAATTTTCACACCTTAACTAAAAATTATTATTATACTCGTATTTTAAGGGCGCAAAGAATTTTTGCCTAGTAACCATATGGTACAATGGATTGCTATGTCGGTCTGTCCCTACGGAATCTCGCTCAAAGTGTGCTCACATATGCTGTACTTGATTGGAGGTCCGTATACAGGAAATTTTAATGAAGTTTAATATATATTTTTTATCAAGTTGTTAGCTTAGCTTTTAAGTTTTAGTTTGATATATTTTTAATTTAGGATGTATTAGATATTTATTTTATTTATATTCCAATTCATAAAATGAATAAAAACAAATGTAATAAGTTGAAGTTTAATTTCTTCCCATAAAAATTTAATTTTTTTTTTACGTCGCCTGAGTTCAGATTAAAAATTCTAAATATTATTTAGAAAAGCGGCAAGTTGTCCGCGCGTCATTGAAGGTTTAGAGGCGGGGGAATAACCTGCAGGAGAATTTATTGATTTTAGTGGGAAGAGGGATGGCTTAGAGTGGAGGTCTGCAATTGGCTGATTCTAACCTGCTCGTTCGCCAGCCCCCGCTATCCTTATTCTAGGGTAGGACGTGGCCAAGTTCGCTTAAAGATTTTTAATGAGAGACCGAGCGGGCGATTTGATAACTATTTTTTAAAAACAGTGGAAGGACAATGGTGTTAAGAATTATAAAAAATATTTTTTTTAGGAAGAATTATGAGGAACAGACCTCTATTTATTAAAAAAAAAACATTAAAGTATATAAATAAAGAACCAAATCAACCGATAAAATATATTTTAAAAAACATTACTAAATTTTTTATATTAATATGTGCGAGGAAAGGGGGGGGGGGGTTGAATTAAAAATAAACCCTATCGGCGGGGGTGGGGGGCTAGTGGGTTAATATTTTTTAAAGAGCAATGGCTTGGTGTGCGTCCGGATTAAAACCGGCCGATTTTAGACCTCTAGTTTAGAGTGCCTTGGAGTTTAGCATTGTTTAATTTAAATTTAGCTGTTAACAAATTCAAAAAAATATAACCCTACTATCGAAGGTCCACGATAAATCAACCTAAAGTCCTCCAATAAAATTTATAGGGGAACCGCCCTAAAGACTCTTCCCTCTTCGCCGACTATAAAATTTAATTATTAATATAATTAATCGGTAATTATATATTATAAATATTATAATTTATAAAATTTATTAATTGATATTGAATAGAGCAGAATTCCAGTGATCTATGGGCATTATCCGGCCGGAACTTCTGTAAGAAATATTGCCCACTTTGGCCAAAGCATTAGAACTGGCGATTTTCGAAAGTACGATTACGGATTCTTCAAAAATTTAATAAAATATGGAAAGGTATATGTGTCTCTCATTTTAAACCTATAATTAATTATTATTTTTTAGGTGCAATTGATAGTGATTGTTTATTTTTCGTCTTTTAAACTTTTAGTCCCAAAATATTAAGCTATTATTTATGATCGATTCACCTGTACCTAGAGAAGAGAAGAGAAGAGAAGAGAAGAGAAGAGAAGAGAAGAGAAGAGAAGAGAAGAGAAGAGAAGAGAAGAGAAGAGAAGAGAAGAGAAGAGAAGAGAAGAGAAGAGAAGAGAAGAGAAGAGAAGAGAAGAGAAGAGAAGAGAAGAGAAGAGAAGAGAAGAGAAGAGAAGAGAAGAGAAGAGAGTCTTTCTTTCTTTCTTTCTTTCTTTCTTTCTTTCTTTCTTTCTTTCTTTCTTTTTCAAAATAGTAGACCCCGAATCTAATCAGCACTTAAAGACCCGTTATAGCGCTTTATTTTATTTGGGAGAATATAAGAGACCGGCATAGGTCAAAATTTTAGGTCCGCCATGATTTGAAAAAAAAATTTCATTTCAAGCCCAGCCCACATTTTAATTTTGTGATTTTTTGCGACAGAATTTTTTTTTAAATTTTTCTTATTTTTGAATTTCTTTCTTTCTTTCATTCCTTTATTTCTTTCTTACATTCTTTCTTTCATTTTTAATCCTTGCCCCGGATTTTTTTAAAATAATTTTTATCCCGTTTTTGGAAGGGTTTTGGGCTTGCGTGTCTGTGAATAAATTTAAAATTTTAGACTGTCACAAATTAGATAATCCTGATACAAATCTCTATATCTGTCCCTTACGATGTTTATTGTTTATAATAAAGCATGTTTTATTTAATCACCTTTTAAATCTACGCATAAAATTGAATAACATTTCTGATAAAGATGTTCTGAAGACCAAAGTAATAACTAGCGCGTTTTATGATAATATTTTCACGTAAACTTTCGTGACAAATGAGAGGCAGGATGCTTAAGCTCTAATTTATGTATGGATTTATATTAAAATTAAAAAAAAGAACCTTACTTAAAAGTTGTGGACACTGCTTATAAAGAAAATAATTTTTAGATTTTTATAAAAAAGTGTAAGTGTTAATGATTAATAAAATCAAATATTTAAGTCCTTTAATAAAGAAATTTTAGGAAAACCCAGAATGTAAACTTTGACACAATATTCAAATAGTATACAGTGTAGTTTACTTAATATTTTACACTATATATATACATAATTTTGTTTGATAAATCATCATAAAAATATATAATATAGGTATATTTCATATATACGCAAATTTGGTTGTCAATTTTGGCTTAATCTATTAGTCAGATCTACTTTTAAATTCTAAAATAATTGCTGAATATAATCAAATTATGGTGTTCCAATGCACCATGTCTTTTGCACCTATCTATGTTTAACCGAAGTGTGTCTTTGATTTTTTGTAACCAAAATCTTTCTTTCTTTCTTTCTTTCTTTCTTTCTTTCTTTCTTTCTTTCTTTTTTGAAACATATAGTAATTGACACTGTAACTCTACCTACCGAGAAGGGTTTAACTCTGTTAGCGTGTTCTCTGAAAAATCAGTTACATTAGAAAGAGATAATCTTAGGATACCATTAGAGATATTTACTCTAATCATATTAGTCAAAAATACTTAGTTTTCATAATTTTTGCAAAGTGCATTTCGATGTACCCTAGTTGGTCGAATGAATTGAAAAAGGCATTTTTATCAATAAATCTATCAGTATATTTTCTATATCGCCAATAGATTAGAACCTATTTGTATTATTATATTATTATGGTGTGTTTCTCTTAAAAATATAAAAAATATATTTTTCATGCACTATTAATACTAAGCTGACCATATTTAAAAAATATTTGTGTTTGAAAAAAAAATCACAACATATCAGTATATACCACCATCGTACGATGTAACTCAAATGACAATTCCGACAATGATATTCTGGGGACTCAAAGATCTGTTAGCGGTTCCTAAAGACGTGAAAAAGTTGATTCCGTTAATCCAAAACCTGGTGGGCAATTATAAATCCTATAATTCGAATCATTTCGATTTCGTCTTCGGGATCAATGCCGCGAAAGAATATTATTCTGTCATAATTCAAGCCATACTGGATACGGAATTCAATTCTTCATTTAAGAAAACAAATAACTCATAAGAATTTATGTTTTTTTTTTGAAACATTTTTATATATTAAAATAATTTATGACGAATTGTAACCTTATTTTTTATAAATATCGTAAATTAATAAAGATTTAGCCTAACCGTGCAAATAATGACGAAAAATTTCACATAAATCCCAAGTAGGAACTATTTATTCGTATTAACCACGGGAAAATAATTAACCGGGAAAAATTTTTTCCCAAATATTGATTCTTAATTTTTTGGCTTAAGACCTTTCCCCTTAGAAAATTAAAAATTGTAGGATGTTTCTTATTAATTGGCAGAATCAGTGGCGTAGCTAGGAATTTTTCTTAGAGGGGGCCATACATATAAAAGCCTGAGGGGCTTCGCCCACCAGACCCCCCTTTAATGGACCTTCGGCCTTTTTGCCCGGCCTTCGGCCGGGTTTATCTTAAAATCGTAACCATATCTTCGGATATATAATAAATATATTTTTTTTAATATGTAATTATAATTTAGTAGATTATTCTCAATGACTTTATAATAATACTACCCAGAATAATTTCGATAGTAATATAATATCCTTCCACAAACATCAAAACCAGAAAAATATTAATATTCATGGTATTTATTTGATATAAAGTCACTTTTAACTCTTTTGAACGTATAATCTTAAAAAAAAAATTGCTCTGGGGGAGGGGGTCCAAACCGGAACCCCCCCCCCCCGGAACTACGTTACTGGGCCGAATAGAGCAAAACTGCTCTAATTGTGTGGAAGATGTAATTAAAAAAAAATTCCTATTTAATTTAGAGTAATAAATTTTAATATTCAAATCGAAGTAGATATTTTACTATCATATCATTTAGATGAGTCTAGCTAGATTCCTAGAAATATGGATTCCAAATATTAATATAAGCTAATAGAAACGGGAGAAAGAAGTTGATTTTAAAAAAAATTATTAGTAAAAAAAAAATTGCTAGCAGTGTTGTATAAACGTTACTTTTTTAAAGTAGCGGGCTATCGTTACCTCTTTTTTTCAAAAAAAAATACCAACTCTTCAGTATATATAAATAGCATATAATCCGCAAGCGTCTTAAAAGTATAGATAATGATAAAATGTTTTAGACAGTTCCTTCAGTCCCAAAAAGGAACTATTTATTAATATGAATCACGGAAAATTATTCCCAGTAAAAACCATATGAACCTCTTTTTAATCATCAAAATAAACCCCACCCTTTTCCTTAAAAATTGAGGATTTTTTTAGGGGAATTATTTTTAGATTATCTATTAACATAATTACGATTTAAACTTTATTAAATTGAATGGATCGTGAAAAAACAACATCGAAACGTATGGAAAATGAAATTTAAAATCATATCCTTTAAAAAAAAGAAACAAAGAATGAAAGAAAGAAGGAAAAAAAGTTGGCGAGTAGAAAAGATAAATAATTATTTTCGGTGGAAATTTCTTTCTTTCTTTCTTTCTGGCTAGACCCTAGAAAAAATGTATTCTAAATATTAATAAAAGTAATAATTTTTTTTTAAATTAAAGTATATAAAGGCCAACTTCGATAGATAAGTTAAAAGAACGGCAGAAAAGAAGTTTATTTTTATATACTAATAAGTTGCTGATAGGTTTTTATAATGGGGTGTTCATTAGAGAGATGATTAAGTTAAAAGTTTTAAAATATTTTATGAAGAGTTGAAAGGAGTGAATAAACAATTAGTCTTCGATTTTTTTTTATCTGGGAAAGATCTAAAACATTAAACAATATTTTAAAAAATGAAAAACAACATATATTTTATTATTAATTTTTTTTTATAATAATTTATTTTAAAATTTGAAGATTTTATTTCATATTCATTAAAAGAACATATTTTAATAAACTATAATACATTTATAAAATATAATAATTTTATATAAACATACTATATCCATAATCAATATAAAAATATATAATTAAAAGAAGGGGTATTAAAGGTGGGGCTTAATAACCCATGTATGGATATGCAGTTGGAATCAACAGATTTCGCTAGATATTTTTTGTCGAAAGTAGAAGCCTTCATTTGGATCACTCGTGGATAAACGTAACCGTTGCCCTATTGTTTTGAATAATTTAAGGGCTTGGGGTCCAAATGATCCACTGAGACTACAGGAACGAACGAAACATTATTAAGGTGGCAATATTTATTGGTTTTTGTATTCACCACTTTCGTGGTGGAGTTGGCAGAAAAATATTTGGCAAAACGATCTACACATGTATAATCCCAAGCGAGGTTCTATCCGGACTGGTTTGATTATCGGATCTAAGGCCAGCGGGTTCCAGCCAAGAGGGAATATATAAGGATTTCAGGGTTCTATTGATAATTGAATTGATAGCAGAGTGTCTAGGAAGTTATGCCTTTTGAGAAACGACAGTGTAGGGGGGGGGGGTGTCCAAGACTATCAATGTGAGTTTCACATAGGACACACGATGTAGACGTTACGACTTCGCCCTAAGCGAAGAACTAATAACAATATTGTAGAAAAAAAAACTTGAGAAATATTTCATTATAAAAAATATAAAATAAATATTTTACTTAACTGCCTTTATATCGAGCTGTTTTTTAACCAAAAATCAAGTCAATCCTAATTCCATAAATTCTGACCCTTCCTTTGATAGTGCCATCATTGAATGGAAATCTCGATTCATGGCCGACCACCCAATTCCAGAAACGAACAAGCAGAAGGACTGGGATTAGCCCATTATTGCAAGCTGCGTCGAATCTCTCCTTTCCAGTATGCAATCATTGGACCGTCCCTTATTCTACTCGCTGCTTAATAGTTCTGGACATGAGTTTCTCGAAGCCATTCCATCTGCGAACTTACAATTACAATTGACCCAAAATGAACTAACTCACGCTATAGGCATCCGTTTAAACTGCTTAGTAACCCAACCCCACATCTGTGCCGGCTGCAGTTCTGCTGTTTTGAGTAATGGAAGGCATAGCCTACATTGTCGTTCATGTAAAGGCCGCATCGTTAGACATAACATTTGCAATTCTATAATTCTTAGAGCTCTGAGATCCGCTCAAATTCCTTCTATTCTCGAACCCTCTGGTCTTTTCAGATCTGATGGGAAACGCCCTGACGGGATCTCTCAAATTCCCTGGAAGCGAGGTCAATTCTTGGTCTGGGATTACTCGTGTATTGATCCATTGGCTCCTTCCAATCAATTCCTTAACATTCTGGAGAACAAGGAGCTTCTAAAAATTGCAAAATATTCAGAGATATCCCAAGATCACTTTTTCATTCCCATCATTTCCACTACCTTGACTACCTTTGGGAATCGTGCTCTTTCTTTCTTCAAGGAACTTGGATCGCTAATCCGCAAACTAACTGATGAACCTCGTGAAGGCTTCTTCTTAAGACAAAGACTCGCAATAGCAATTCACAGGGCCAATTACATCAGCTTCATGGGCAGCCTCATCCCACAAGATGATTAGAATATATTTACATTTTTATTACAATATAATGTTATTATAGTTATTTAAATTTCTATTTTTTATCAAATATATTAATTAATTACTTCAATTTGTAAAAATTATATTTCTTTTTACCAAATTTTTTTGTTTAATTTTTCTTATCGTAATAATAAATATCATTAATTTTTGTAGGATTATCAAATTTATTTTTATAACGTTTTATATATTTATACATATATAATATATTTTAAAACAAAAAAAACAAAATTCTTCCTTTTTCTTTTACAATTTATTCGTTACAGTCTGATAGTCCACTTGTTATAATAATTAATTGTTATTATACCTACATACATATCTCTTCTTTGTTTATATCGCCTATCACCAATAATAGAAAGAAAGAAAGCAAATTACTTTAAATAAATTATTATATTGAGTGGGGCATAGGTGGGATTAAACCATTTTTATATAAAAAAAAATTATTATTATTTTTTAATTATAAAAAACAAAAATTAATCATGATTTAGATCATTTTAAAATTTAAATAAGAAGATGATTATTTATTATATATTATTCTTTTCTAGTAGCTATATTTCCCATCCCTTCACCACCGCTATTCTATTATGTCCAATGCACGAAGCTCACAAGAACGTTACTCTCTTGGAAATAAATTACTCAAATCTCACATCGAAGGCAAAAGTGTTGCCAATCGGTATTCGAAACGACTTTAATTCAGCCAATAATTCGAAACACCCAAGATTGAAAAGAAGTGGGCCTTATTATCTTGACGATAATGAACTTCGCAAATCCAACGTATTCTGGGGGAGAAGACAAGATAATGGTGATGTACATGACCAAAGTGGGAGAAGTTACGAACAAGGTAACATAGGAATGCTCTCAAGTCATGATAATTATCCAAATATGCGCCAGTCCTCACGTCAAGGTTTTCACGGTTTTAACGGGAACCCCTACCACAATAAGCCATTTCCAGGGATAGATAACAATAATCAGGGACAAAGTTGGAGACGCAATATAATTAGGAGACCAATATACAATCCCAGACCAAGATACGAGCCTCATAGACCCATATATAAACCTGCGCCTATTTCCGCACGAAGGCCAAGGTATAGACCGACATACCGACCTATATACCAACCTCGACCTATTTATAGGCCTAGACCAACATATAGACCTAGACCAACATATAGACCTAGACCAACATACAGACCTGTGCATCCAGTTTACCCTATTCTGCCTATCACTAGAAGGCCAACTTATCCAGCCTTACCTATCCAACCTCCAGGAGGTAAAATTTAATTATTTTTTTTAAGATGAGGATCTGTATACATTTATTTATCTATCTAAACATTTCCAAATCAGGCACGTATGCAGGAATTTGGTCTGAGAGGGTTGGGGGAGATAATAAAATTTTTTAAGAAATATTAATGTTATTTAAAAGATATTAAGCATAAATTTATTAGGACTAATAACTTTTATAATACACAATTTTAATGTAAATTACAAAAAAAAATATATATATAAACCGGCATTGAAAAACTATAAAATAAATGTGAATTGTAAAATATAAAGTGAATATAAGCACGATATGAATCACTTAA